TCTAAGACAAAAAGGGAATAAAAGGGGGAAATAAATTTTAAAATTGCTCTGGAGTCAAACCCAAAACAAATCTTAAGATTGGGGGAAAAAAACCCAAGGATTACATCAGTCCTTCCCTTCCCCAAAAAAGGTCTTGGAAATAAAAAAGAAATTCAAAAGGAACAAAAAAACTGGCGCTTGGGGTGAAATTTAACACATTTAATTTAATAAGAACTTCAGGCCCTGTTAATATTCTTACCCATATGGAAATTTCGGAAGGTTGGCCACACCCCGCCGGTCGAAAAAGGAGTGAAAATATTCCAAAAACTGTTTAGGTAAAATTCCTAAAAGAGTTGGGAAACTCCACCTAACAAAAAGATAGGGGGGTAAAACGTTTGGAGGAATTGACTTTTAAAAACAATTTCCAAAATTGGGCAGTTAAAAGGGGAAAATTGGAAATAAAGAAAGTGTCCAGGGGTGTTTTAAAAAATTTCTTCGTAAAAGGCTAAGTGGTTTGGGAAGCCAGTATGGGGGGGGGGCGGGGTCCCCAAAAACCTTTGGAATCTAAAGTCACGGCCCGGAAGTGAAATATACACATAAAGGCCCAGGCTCCCAAACCCCCCCCCAACCCTCAAAATTTTTTCCCTTTTTAAAGTTCCACCATTTTTAAACCCCCCCAAGCCGCCGTAAAAAATAGGAAATTTTAAAAGGGTTTTCCAAAAGATACCCCTAAGGGGGTCCTAGAATTAAAAAAATTACCCTAGGAAAAAAATAAATAATAAAAAAAAAATATAAAAATTAAATAAAAAAAGATTTAGAATTAAAAAAAAAGGGGCCGTTAACTCCCAAGGAACAAGGGAGTTTGGAAAGTTTTCTTCCCATTTTAAAAGGAATTATTTTGGGGAACTGTTGGGGGGGGGAAAAAATTTTTTGGGGTAAAAAAAAAAGTGGTAAAAACCTAGTAGCGACATGAGACGGGAGACTGGCCCCCCCCCCAAAAAACCCCCCAACAACACAAACAACACACACCACACACCACACACAACCAACACACACACACACAAGCCCCCCCCACACACAGAGGAGCTGGTTTTGACCCCTGCAACCACAATTGGTGAGTACACACACACACACACACACACACACACACAACACACACACACACACACACACACACACACACTAGTTTTCCACTTTGCGTTTTGTTTTTAACAAAATATTCAAGATCCATAAATAGACAGCAAATTTTCAGCACATTTGAAACGCCTTTCTTTTAGCAAGTTAATTTCGGAGTGACAGTCTCAAAGAAACACTCACATCTTGAATATACTTAAAAAACGAAGACGTAAAAAGACATTGGACTAATTTTATGAATGATAAAGTAGAAAGGTCCTTCTTAAAAGAATAACATTGGTAATTAGGGGAATTAATTAATATAATTTATATTGCTTTCTTCGAACAGACAGAATGTTAAAAAAATCCTTACCAAGATATTTGTTTAAGTATTTACAAAAGGACTAAACCAATAACTTGTCTCTTCCTGTTTCCGTTGCTATATTAATGGTTACTTCCGGAAAAAAATGAAATTTAGCCAAGTAGTGTAAATGAAACAGAGAAAACACTGAAGCTGCTTAAGAGTAAATTTTAATTCACGCTGAGTCAAGATGACATATGAAAACATATGCCATGCTGGTATATATTTTCATTAATTCCCATACCTGGAGTTTACCTGGAGAGAGTTCCGGGGGTCAACGCCCCCTCGGCCCGGTCTGTGACCAGGCCTCACGTAGAAAACTATTCTAGACCTGCGCTATGTATGGAGTGAAACATTACCTGAAAAAGTAATTTGCCAAATCTCCTCCAGTTCCATCTTGTTTATTTCTCAAATTAACAAGGAACTCCAGGGGGAAAAATCGGTTTTTGTTCTCGGGTCACAGAATCCCTGAAGCCTCTATATGAACTCCCAAAATATCCATTGACCATTGGTTAAGAACCCTTGATTTAAAGATTTGCTTGTCCATGGTAGATGCCATTCTCATGCAAATACTGGAATGATAGAGTACTATAATTTGTGTCTGCCAGTGCCAGATATGGGTACCGTGCCAGGAGGACTGGAGCTTCTCCCTGATCTCTCTTTGTTAACTCTTACACCATGATCTACTTGCCGCAGACTCTAGCAAAGCATAAGTATAACATATCAATAATATGTCTACCAGTGCTTCCAAAACCATGTTATGACGTGTTATCAATTTTATTTATTTGCTGTTGCTTTAAGAACATAACAAAGAAACATTGCAGCAGGCCTTCTGACCCATGCTAGGCAGGTCTGATTCACGCCCACCCACTCATGTACCTGTCTAACCTATAACGTTAGGCAAACTTCTTGGCTTAATGATGCTACCTGGGAGTTTATTCCTCTCATCTACAAATCTAGTGCCAAACCAATACTTTCTAATATCCTTTCTAAATCTGAATTTCTCCAACTTAAATCCATTGCTGCGAGTGCTAGTCTCGGTTAAATATTTTCAACACACTGTTTATGTCTCCTTTATTTATTCCCGTTTTCCATATGTACACTTCCATATGATAAATGAGGCACATGTGCAATATTTGGGAATCATTATTCCGGAAACGTTTCGCCAAGCAATGGCTTCTTTAGTCAAGTGCATAGAAATGTATTGTCCAGGAGGAGTTTGAGGTAATCAGTCGATGTGTTTAGTCCCTCAATCTTGACAATAGTACAGCATATTCAGAGATGGGGCTTATATACTGATAACAGATGAGGTGGAGCAGAGGTAGGCGGAGTCACCACTGGAGAAGACCACTAGTGGTCCATTTGTACACATCTTTCCAAGGAATGCAAGTTCAATGCTTTCACCTAATTTTCGTAGGAAAGATTTCTAGTACATTGTCACCTTTGTGGTGTATGGCTTTACCCATGTTTTTTAATAACTATGGAATGATAACTGAGCCGAGACTGTCTCCATTGAATATTTAAGGCATGTGGTAGTTTTGTTTTTCTTTCAAATTTTGATGGATGTGACGTTTTATAAATCTGGACCTTGCGCAAAGTACATGGGTATGCTGCCACTGGTGTCTGTATAGTCAAAAAAATTAGAGTTGCTGACAAACCTTATAGTTTCATTGGTGCAAAATTAATTTGGGTTGACAATCGTTTGCCAAATTCACGATTCACTGAACTCATATTGTGACTTTAGTTTGCTGCTTATTTCTTTGTTGTTATCCAGGAAAGCTCCAGCTCATCGTTTTTGAGGTTCTTTTTTGTACTTGTTTGTTCATCTGCTTGCTTGCTTGCTTGCTTACCTGCTCTCTCTCTCTCTCTCTCTCTCTCTCTCTCTCTCTCTCTCTCTCTCTCTCTCTCTCTCTCTCTCTCTCTCTCTCTCTCTCTCTCTCTCTCTCACCCCCTCTCTCTCTCTCTTTCTCTCCATTCCCGCTTCTACGTAGATGGATACCCAGGTATCCATATATCCTGTGAAGAATTAGCTGCTTTAAAGACACGATTTCCTCTCAAACTGGTCTCTGCGTCTGAAAGTTTTTCGATCTGTTTCAGATACTACATAGCTCCGAGGTGATGGTACATTTCTGAATTATTTTTGACAATCTTTTTACTTTCTATCAGTAAAAAAAAAAAAACTCTGGGCTTTGTATGGATGTAAATATCATTGTTGGATTGTTGTTTACGTGGCTTCACCAGGTTCCTTTTATGTGGAATGCAAATCCTCTTGTGTCACAGTGTTTCATCTTATGTATGTAAAGCACAATTTTGGATGGAAATATTTGCTGGTGTTGGAAAGACTTTAGGCTTTAGTTGAGAGATCATGGTATTTATTTGGATGATTGTAGCTAAATGTTTATAGTCATTTTTTCCCAGACTGTTTATATTGGCAGATGTCTAAAGAACTGCCAAACACAGTGTATAGTATTTACACATTTTATATGTTCTCGTTACAATTCATGTGGGTCTATTGTGACTTTTCGTATGATTTTGTGAAAGGAAATGGAAAGCCATTTCCGTAATTTCCCTTAAACCTTGTAAAAATTGCTGTACCGTTAGGTACAGCAATTTAGAGTTACATAAAATTCATTCAATTTTGTCCCGGTAATGAGAACCAAGATTCCAGCAGCTATATAGCTTTGTCCTGGACCCTGCACAGTGTCACTCTCCAGACCCTGACTCCAGAACATCCTCTATATCGATCCCGGAATTTTCGTAATTTCTGTAAATATATACTACCATGTTTTTTTTTTTTTTTTTTTTTTTGTCATTATTACTGCGGTGTTTGAATCTCTTCTACATTGTGTCTGTTAGTTCAAACGTCTTCCTCTTCTATATGTCGATCACTATTACACTGTTCTAGGCAAAATTGCAACAGTGAAAAAAATGATGAAATTCCAAGCGGTTTCGTGATTTCTAGCATTGTCAAGGATTCCTTGTCAAGTAAGAAATGACGAAAGCGCTTGGCTTGGAATTTCTCTGTTTTTCCCTGTGGTTATTTTACATATTGTGATAACACCTGTTTACTGTGATCTTACTACCTCACACTGTTCTATATTTGAGTCACTTTACATATCCTTTCAAGATTTCCGGTTTGTATATAATATGATAAATATGCCGCTACATATATCAAGTTTATAATAAGACGACGTATTGCTGGGTGAAAAGTCAGATTATGGAGACAAGAACTCCTTCATGAAGGCTGCCAACAACCAGGTGCTAAGACGGTCTCTTGGTAGCTGACTTGGCTTTTCTTTAAGGAAGGTGTTTCTAGGTTTCTACTTAGTCAAACAACATTTTATTGAAAGTTTCCTTTGTCTACTTGACACCTTTTCTGGCTCACCTTCCTCAGATACTTCTAGCTTCAGTATGCCTCTTTTTTTTTCTCAGATATGTTCTTTTTTGTGTGTATGGGCTATCGCATTACACAGTTAAGAGTATATACATTCTGGAAACATTTCTGCTTGGTTGTATACAGAGCAAATTTAGTCTTTGCGAATTACGATTGTAAGAAGTACTGTTGATACAGCCAGATGTTTAAATAAATGGTTTAGAAAACCGACTAGTTGATAAATGAGAGACTTGTGGAACATTTGGCTGTCTTTATTCTGGCAACGTTTTGCCAGCCAGTAGTTGGCGAAACGTTTTCAGAATAAAGATACCCAAGTGTTGCACATTTGTCTCATTAATCAATCAGAGGTTTAGTTTGTTGGTGGCCTGGGGGAGACGGGAGACGACCCTCCACTTTTTTTTATATCTAACTGACATTTGGAGTTTGATTCAGTTATTTACCCATTAATAATAACTTGCCTGGGACAATTTGTGATTTAGCTGGGAGTACAGGAGGCACAAGTGAAATTATGTATTTTGGCTCAACTATGCGAGGCTGACACTGGTTGGCGTCTTGCCAACATCCTGCCATATTGCTCTTACCACTGATGTCCACTCCCAGATTCTCGTGTTATTTTATTTTGCACTCAATTTGCTCTTTAGTTATGTTTCTCTGAAGTTAGAAAACGTCAGAAAAGTGAAAAGACGCAAAAGCAATCAAGTTCACAAAGGAACTAGATTTGTTGTGATATAATCAAATGAATCGAGTAACACATTATTAGTTGCGTCACTCAGGTGAGTGAATATGCCGCTGCAAAGATAGTACATTTCATTAAAAAGTTGACAAGCTATTTGCGACATGAACCCTCAGAGTAGTATAATCCTACAAGAGAACCCACCCCTATCTAGACTAGAACAAGAGAAGCAGTACTCACATGTGTCGTGGGTGAAGAGTATAGATTTGGCTTCGGCCACCGAGCAGAGAGGTTCATCCTGCTCCAGCAGCTTGGTGAGAAGCATATCACATATGCCCTCCAGGGACGTCTCCCCCACGTCCAGCACCAAAGTCGCCTGTGACAAGAAGTGCGCGATGTCCATTGAGGCACGCACCTCCGACCCGAAGTCCTTCATGGGCACTTTCTGCAAGGTGCAAGCGAGGAGTTGAGTAACGGATTCACTCAAGGAGACAAGGCCATGCTCACATAAAAGGTCGTGAGGGGTAGAGGGAAGGAGAGGGGCTGTCGAGGATGATGTTGTCATAGAGGTCGTTACAGACGTCGTGACAGTAGTCGTTGATGTCGCTTGGGTAGATGCACTGCTGTTGGGTAGGGCAGGGGCAGCCCCTCCCATGTGAGTCATTTCCACCTGAACAGCTGGCCCTCGACGGGGAACAGGGCCGGCAGTTGATGGCATTTCGTTACTACCATGGCGGCTGCCAGGGGCAGACACCGTACTCTGCCACGACCCATACAGCGTGGCATACGGCAGCGTCAGAGAACACCGACGTGTCGTCACTGCCGACGCTGCTGCCTCACTGGTCAGAGGCTTCCTTTTGATTGCGTGAGGAGGAATGATGGGTATAATCTGCGACATTCCCGAAATGTCGGTATGACAGGAGCTGCGTCGCTTGCGTCGAGCATCTTGCGGGAGGTGCGGCACCGAGGTGGACGGGATCGAGTGTGAGCGGGAGTTGTTACTGCCTGATGACCTTTCCAGCTCCTCTGGCTCCTCCCTTACAGTGTGCCAGTCGTCGGGAAGGTCAGTGAAGGCCCCCAGTCGCTCATCTCTGCCACGGAAGAGCCCCAGCACCGCTGCCAAGGAGTGCTGGCGAATCAGACGGTGTGGAGGAGGCGCACGAGGGCTGCGGGAATGCCCAGGGCCACTTTTCGCTCCGCCAGCAGAGCCCAGAAATTTGGTCATGGCCCCACCCGTTGTGGTGGCAATGCTGCCGCTGACGGCAACGCTAACGGGGGTGCTGGAGGTCTGGGGTACAGTGACTGAAGACTGGCAGGTTTTGGTCTGACTGCCTTTGCCATTACCAGTGACCCTGACTGGAGAGCTCTGGTCTCTGGCCAGCAGAGGACTGTACGGGCTCGAGGACTTCGTAGGAGACCCCTTCATTGGAGACCTTCGTCCACCACTGGGGCTAGCGGGTGGTGGGGGAAGTTTGGGGGAAACACAGGTGATAGTGGCACTCCTGGCTGGGCGTGGGGAGGACACGGGTGAGCCTTTGGGTGGCCCAAGAGGCTGGGAGGAAGCAGGAGGAAGAGAAGACAGGCCAGGATCCCCGACGGGCACTGTCCGGGCAGTGTCTTCCGTGGGGTGGGGGGAGGCAGTGTTGGGTCGCCTGCAGGAGGGGTCGGGGGCAGACATAGTGGTGTCTGGTGGGGTAGGCGGCACAAGAGACTCCATCAGGACGCCACACAGCATCACTCGCGCACTCTGGCCACGCCGTCCGCATCACCCGTCTGCACCCCGCAACATCCTTCTCGCGATGCACTCGCCACCACACTGACCCCTCGCACCCTTGCAGCCGCGCACCCCCTCCTCGCGCACGCCCCTCACGCACTCCCGCACGCACTCCCGCAACCCATTCAATCTCACTTCAATCAAAACACTGTCACGTCGGCTCAACTAAACCAAAGCTGCCGTGACGCAAGTTCCACACTCTGGCGGCTCTTAATTACTGACTCCTGCTTCATTCCCAAGATGGACAACATCCATCCACCACCATCTCCACCTGCTTTCCCCCACCATTACCATTACCATCACCACTCGTCTCCACCACCATCACCTCCTCTCCACCACTATCACCACTACCATCACCATCTCCTCTCCACCACCATCACCACCACCAACATCTTCACCACTACCATCATCACCTGCTTACCACCACCATCACCTGGCACCACCTGGCTATTCTGGCGCCACCTGGCTATCCTGGCGCCACCTGGCTATCCTGGTACCACCTGGCTAACCTCTCCACCTTCTGTTGATTCTGTGATGTTAACGTCATCTACACACCTGTGACGCTATGCGCACTCCTGGGTGATGTTGTGACATCATTCACAGAAGACTGTCCCGTGTAATCCCACACTTCTCCCATGTCGTCACACACATCCCGGTGTCCTCACACACCCCACGTATCTTCACACATACCTCCGTGTCCTCACACACCGTCACGTATCCTTACACACCCCACGTATCCTCACCCCCCCGTGTCCTCACATCCCCCCCGTGTCCTCACCCACATCAACGTATCCTCATACACACCCCGTGTCCTCACACCCCCGTGTCCTCACACACACCCATGTATCCTCACACACACCCAGTGTCCTCACACCCCCACGTATCCTCACACACATCCCAGTGTCCTCACACACACCCCCGTGTCCTCACACACACCCACGTATCCTCACACACACACACACACCCACGTATCCTCACACACACCCATGTATCCTCACACACACCCAGTGTCCTCACACCCCCCACGTATCCTCAAACACATCCCAGTGTCCTCACACACACCCCCGTGTCCTCACACACACACCCACGTATCCTCACACACACACACACACCCACGTATCCTCACACACACCCAGTGTCCTCACACCCCCCACGTATCCTCACACACATCCCAGTGTCCTCACACACACCCACGTATCCTCACACACACCCCCGTGTCCTCACACACACCCACGTATCCTCACACACCCCGTGTCCTCACACACCCACGTATCCTCACACACACTTTCGTGTACTCACACACACACACATCCGTGTCCTCACACACACACCCACTTATCCTCACACGCACTCACGTATCCTCACACACATCCCCGTGTGCTCACACACACCCCGTGTCCTCACACCCCCGTGTCCTCACACCCCCGTGTCCTCACACACACCCATGTATCCTCACACACACCCAGTGTCCTCACACCCCCACGTATCCTCACACACATCCCGGTGTCCTCACACACACCCCCGTGTCCTCACACACACCCACGTATCCTCACACACACACACACACCCACGTATCCTCACACACACCCAGTGTCCTCACACCCCCCACGTATCCTCACACACATCCCAGTGTCCTCACACACACCCACGTATCCTCACACACACACCCGTGTCCTCACACACACCCACGTATCCTCACACACACCCCGTGTCCTCACACACCCACGTATCCTCACACACACTTTCGTGTACTCACACACACACACATCCGTGTCCTCACACACACACCCACTTATCCTCACACGCACTCACGTATCCTCACACACATCCCCGTGTCCTCACACACACCCCCGTGTCTTCACACCCCCCGTGTCCTCACACCACCACGTATCCTCACACACACCCCCGTGTCCTCACACACACATCCCCGTGTCCTCACACACACACACACACCCACGTATCCTCACACCCCCACGTATCCTCACACACACCCCCGTGTCCTCACCCCCCACGTATTCTCACACACACACCCGTGTGTAGCGATCAGTGAAGAGGCGGGGCCAGGAGCTGAGTCTCGACCCCTGCAACCACAATTAGGTGAGTACAATTAGGTGAGTACACACCCCGTGTCCTCACACACATCCACGTATCCTCACACACACACTCCCGTGTCCTCATACCCCCCAAGTCCTCACACACCGCCACGTACCCTCACACACACACCCGTGTCCTCACACACACCCCCGTATCCTCACACAGACACCCCTGTCCTCAAACACACCCCCGTGTTCTCACACAGACCCCTGTATCCTCACACACACTCCTGTATTCTCACACACACACCCCTGTCCTCAAACACACCCCCAGTGTCCTCGCACTCACACCCGTGTCCTCACACCCCCGTGTCCTCACACACACACCCCTGTGCCCTCACACACACCCCTGTATCCTCAGACACACCTCGTGTCCTCACACAAACCCCTGTATCCTCAGACACACCTCGTGTCCTCACACACACCCTGTATCCTCAGACACACCTCGTGTCCTCACACACACCCCTGTATCCTCAGACACACCTCGTGTCCTCACACACACCCCCTGTATCCTCAGACACACCTCGTGTCCTCACACACACCCCTGTATCCTCAGACACACCTCGTGTCCTCACACAAACCCCTGTATCCTCAGACACACCTCGTGTCCTCACACACACCCTGTATCCTCAGACACACCTCGTGTCCTCACACACACCTCTGTATCCTCAGACACACCTCGTGTCCTCACACACACCCCCTGTATCCTCAGACACACCTCGTGTCCTCACACACACCCCTGTATCCTCAGACACACCTCGTGTCCTCACACACACCCCTGTCTTAACAATCTCCCCCGTGACCTCACCCTGCGGAATCGGAGGTAATCCGGATCGATCCCTGGAAGAGTGGTTCCGATTCCTTGGATCAAGAGCTCTTCACCGTCATGAAGGCATCCCTGTGATGGCTGGCATCGATGTTTGTTAGTTCTTAGACGCTTCCGGCGTCTGGACACGTAGTTTGCTAGTTGTTACTTGTTAGTTTGTTAGTTTATTTTCTGAAGTGAAAAATTTAATTACTGTCCATTGGTGTCAGTTCTGGGGTGTCCTTCCTGTGTTGTCAGTTCTGGGGTGTCCTTCCTGTGTTGTCAGTTCTGGGGTGTCCTTCCTGTGTTTGTCAGTTCTGGGGTGTCCTTCCTGTGTTGTCAGTTCTGGGGTGTCCTTCCTGTGTTGTCAGTTCTGGGGTGTCCTTCCTGTGTTGTCAGTTCTGGGGTGTCCTTCCTGTGTTGTCAGTTCTTGGGAGTCCTTCCTGTGTTGTCAGTTCTTGGGAGTCCTTCCTGTGTTGTCAGTTCTGGGGTGTCCTTCCTGTGTTGTCAGTTCTGGGGTGTCCTTCCTGTGTTGTCAGTTCTGGGTGTCTTCCTGTGTTGTCAGTTCTGGGGTGACCTTCCTGTGTTGACAGTTCTGGGGTGTCCTTCCTGTGTTGTCAGTTCTGGGGTGTCCTTCCTGTGTTGTCAGTTCTGGGGTGACCTTCCTGTGTTGTCAGTTCTGGGGTGACCTTCCTGTGTTGTCAGTTCTGGGGTGTCCTTCCTGTGTTGTCAGTTCTGGGGTGACCTTCCTGTGCTGTCAGTTCTGGGGTGTCCTTCCTGTGTTGACAGTTCTGGGGTGTCCTTCCTGTGTTGTCAGTTCTGGGGTGTCCTTCCTGTGTTGTCAGTTCTGGGGTGACCTTCCTGTGTTGTCAGTTCTGGGGTGTCCTTCCTGTGTTGTCAGTTCTGGGGTGTCCTTCCTGTGTTGTCAGTTCTGGGGTGTCCTTCCTGTGCTGTCAGTTCTGGGGTGTCCTTCCTGTGTTGTCAGTTCTGGGGTGTCCTTCATGTGTTGTCAGTTCTGGGGTGTCCTTCCTGTGTTGTCAGTTCTGGGGTGTCCTTCCTGTGTTGTCAGTTCTGGGGTGTCCTTCCTGTGTTGACAGTTCTGGAGAGTCATTCCTGTGTTGACAGTTCTGGGGTGTCCTTCTAGTGTTGTCAGTTCCGGGGTGTCCTTCCTGTGTTGTCAGTTCTGGGGTATCATTCCTGTGTTTCAGTTCTGGGGTGTCATTCCTGTGCTGTCAGTTCTGGGGTGTCCTTCCTGTGTTGTCAGTTCTGAGGTGTCCTTCCTGTGCTGTCAGTTCTGGGGTGTCCTTCCTGTGTTGTCAGTTCTGGGGTGTCCTTCCTGTGCTGTCAGTTCTGGGGTGTCCTTCCTGTGTTGCAGTTCTGGGTTACTCCTGTGCTGTCATTCTGGGGTGTCCTTCCTGTGTGTCAGTTCTGGGGTGTCCTTCCTGTGTTGTCAGTTCTGGGTGTCCTTCCTGTGTTGTCAGTTCTGGGGTGTCCTTCCTGTGCTGTCAGTTCTGGGGTGTCCTTCCTGTGCTGTCAGTTCCGGGGTGTCCTTCCTGTGCTGTCAGTTCTGGGGTGTCCTTCCTGTGCTGTCAGTTCTGGGGTGTCCTTCCTGTGCTGTCAGTTCTGGGGTGTCCTTCCTGTGCTGTCAGTTCCGGGGTGTCCTTCCTGTGCTGTCAGTTCCGGGGTGTCCTTCCTGTGTTGTCAGTTCTGGGGTGTCCTTCTTGTGTTGTCAGTTCCGGGGTGTCCTTCCTGCGTTGTCAGTTCTGGGGTGTCCTTCCTGTGTTGTCAGTTCCGGGGTGTCTTTTCTGTGTTGTCAGTTCTGGGGTGTCCTTCCTGTGTTGCCAGTTCCGGGATGTCCTTCCTGTGTTGTCAGTTCTGGGGTGTCCTTCCTGTGCTGTCAGTTCTGGGGTGTCCTTCCTGTGCTGTCAGTTCTGGGGTGTCCTTCCTGTGCTGTCAGTTCTGGGGTGTCCTTCCTGTGCTGTCAGTTCTGGGGTGTCCTTCCTGTGCTGTCAATTCTGGGGTGTCCTTCCTGTGCTGTCAGTTCTGGGGTATCCTTCCTGTGTTGTCAGTTCCGGGGTGTCCTTCCTGTGTTGTCAGTTCTGGGGTGTCCTTCCTGTGTTGTCAATTCCGGGGTGTCCTTCCTGTGTTGTCAGTTCTTGGGAGTCCTTCCTGTTGTGTTCTGGGGTCCTTCTGTGTTCAGTGCGGGTGACCTTCCTGTGTTGTCAGTTCCGGGGTGTCCTTCCTGTGTTGTCAGTTCTAGGGTGTCCTTCCTGTGTTGTCAGTTCTGGGGTGTCCTTCCTGTGTTGTCAGTTCTAGGGTGTCCTTCCTGTGTTGTCAGTTCTGGGGTGTTCTTCCTGTGTTGTCAGTTCCGGGGTGTCCTTCCTGTGTTGTCAGTTCTAGGGTGTCCTTCCTGTGTTGTCAGTTCTGGGGTGTCCTTCCTGTGTTGTCAGTTCTTGGGAGTCCTTCCTGTGTTGTCAGTTCTGGGGTGTCCTTCCTGTGTTGTCAGTTCTGGGGTGACCTTCCTGTGTTGTCAGTTCTGGGGTGTCCGTCCTGTGTTGACAGTTCTGGGGTGTCCTTCCTGTGTTGTCAGTTCTGGAGTGTCCTTCCTGTGTTGTCAGTTCTGGGGTGTCCTTCCTGTGTTGACAGTTCTGGGGTGTCTTTCCTGTGTTGTCAGTTCTGGGGTGTCCTTCCTGCGTTGACAGTTCTGGGGTGTCCTTCCTGTGTTGTCAGTTCTGGGGTGTCCTTCCTGTGTTGACAGTTCTGGGGTGTCCTTCCTGTGTTGACAGTTCTGGGGCGTCCTTTCTGAGTTGTCAGTTCTGAAGTGTCCTTCCTGTGTTGATAGTTCTGGGGTGTCCTTCCTGTGTTGTCAGTTCTGGGGTGTCCTTCCTGTGTTGACAGTTCTGGGGTGTCCTTCCTGTGTTGTCAGTTCTGGGGCGTCCTTCCTGTGTTGTCAGTTCTGGGGTGTCCTTCCTGTCATGACAGTTCTGGGGTGTCCTTCCTGTGTTGACAGTTCTGGGGTGTCCTTCCTGTGTTGCCAGTTCTGGGGTGTCCTTCCTGTGTTGTCAGTTCTGGGGTATCCTTCCTGTGTTGACAGTTCTGGGGTGTCCTTCCTGTGTTGTCAGTTCTGGGGTGTCCTTCCTGTGTTGTCAGTTCTGGGGTGTCCTTCCTGTATTGACAGTTCTGGGGCGTCCTTCCTGTGTTGACAGTTCTGGGGTGTCCTTCCTGTGTTGACAGTTCTGGTGTGACCTTCCTGTGTTGACAGTTCTGGGGTGTCCTTCCTGTGTTGTCAGTTCTGGGGTGT